CGAGCACTCTCAGCCATGCAAGGGCACACGGAGATGTGGACAGGGGCTTTGCCTGCCAGGGAAAAGCCAGCCTTCTGCCGGGTTCCATGGGGCACCCGTCCTACCAGCACTCTCCCCCCCTCCCCGCCCCCGCCCGCCCAGCCTTGCCTGGATGCTGCGTGTGCACCCTGAGGGCAAAGCCTGCCGTATCCACCTCCATTCCCCGGAGATGGGTGGAGATGGGTCACGGCCTAGACTCGGGGGTGGGCGAACAAGCCACAAGGCGTGTCAGTGGCCAGGACACAGGCTGCCTTCCAGGGGCTGAGCTGCAAGGACCCCCCGAGGCTCGGGTTCCATTCCTGACCGAGGCACCTCGTGCACAGCCACCACCTGCCCGCTGCACCCACTGTGTGTGGTGCCGCAAGCCCGGGAGAGGGTCCATTCTGTTGTGCACTGGGTCACAATGAGCAGGAACCCACCCAACAGCACTACCGACAACCAGAAAACAATGCTCAAGAGATTTCGGCCAGAGCTCCCAGGCTGAAACAGATTAGGAAGAAAGGCCTGGTGACCGTCTCCCCCAAACCAGCCCAGGAAAGCCCTATGGATAATAACAGCCCAATCCACTTTGCCTGGAGTCATCAAGGGTTAGAACAGCGGTGCTCAACCTGTGTGTCGTGACCCCTTTGGGGGTCGAACGACCCTTTCACAGGGGTCTCCCAATTCATCACAGTAGTAAAATGACAGTGATGAAGTAGCAACGCAAATAATTTTATGGTTGGGAGGTCCCCGTCACATGAGGAACTGTATGAAAGGGTCACGGCATGAGGAAGGTGGAGAACCACTGTGTTAGGGATCAACGGCAGCTAACAATAGCAACCCTAGAGCCCAGTCCAGAAAGCCTCAAAAGTCTGCCCCCTAAGATCTGCCGGAGAGCGGTAAGGAGCCATGGTGGCGTAGAGGTTGGGCACTGAGCACTGCCCACCGTGTGAGACCACCAACCTCCCCACGCAGGGGAAGGAGGAGCTTTCTACTCCTGTAAAGCGTTGTAGTCTTGGAAACCCACAGGGGCAGCTCTACCCTGGTCCTCTAGGGCCGAGTCGGCATCGATTTCATGACGGGGAGTTTGTTTGTGATTTCAAGAGGACGGTGGGCAAAAACGGAAAGCAGGTGCGGGGTTCAGGAGGTGGGGAGAGAACAAGACAAGTCACTGGTGGGGTTGATACGCTGTTTAAGTTGCTGGATAAAAAATAAATAAAGACTAATATATAACCCTCCACTCAATTCACAATGAAAAGTTAAAAAAAAGAAAGCCAGTCCCCTCCCTGGGGGCAAGCACGGCCTGCCCCACATGCTGCGCTCATGTTCCTGGGGCTCCGGGCGGCCCAGCAGCCCTGCTTCTGCTGAGCGACCTTAAGGGCGCCACCGGGCAAGGCTCATCACACACTGTGTGCCCTCTTCCCATGAGCGGTGAATGATTAACGCGTACCAGGAACCAGCGTCTCGGTGTTATCCTAGTATACACGGCAGCGCTGAGTGGTGGGCCTGGCCTCCAGCCTCCAGCCCGGAACATATGGCAGGCAGGGCGGGTTCAGGGTGGGCCCAGTGCTCAGCTCAGCCAGCCCGCTCTCACATCACAAAGCAGACGGTGGTGTCGGGAAGTCTAGGCTGGGATCCCAGAGCTGCCCCCAGGGAACACAATGACCCTGGCGGAGACCTGTGCTCATCTCCGTGAGGACCCCCATGCCTGGTGTCGCACAGGCTGCTGTTGCTCAGAGCTGCACAGCTGAATCCGACCCGGGCCAACCCTCGTGGGTTGCCTGGTCCCCTCCATGTGTCCTCCCAGGCTCTTAACCTGTGAGAGATTTGATTTCTGCTTGTTAAAGGCATCCGCCCGTGGTATTTCTACTATAGCAACACTGGGCACAGATGTGTGCCCCTGGGATCCGTGTCGGCTTGGCAAGGACATGGCCCTCCCCGTGGTGAGCGGCTGTCCTCTGTCCCATGTATTGGGAGTCAATCTCTGCCTACGGTTATCGACTCATCAAGCCAAGCGAGGTTCACGGCCATCAGGAGGCAATGCAGATGCATCGAGACCCTGTGTTGGGTTTCTGAGGTGGTAGACCTTTATGGGAGCAGACGGCCTCATCTTTTTCCCAAGGAGCGCTTGGTGGGATTGAACTGCTGACCTGGTAGTGTGTGGTCCCATCCGTCGGAGGCAGGATTAGGTTAAGTTAAAGGTTTAAATACATATAACCCCAGGACCCGCCGGAGCGCTCTTTGCCTCAATGCCTCCAGGTGCAGAACAGCCGTCCCCTCCACACAGCCCACTCCAATGCTCGCCTGCCTCCCAGAGCACGCTGTGTCCTCGTGCAGCTGCCCCTGGGCTAACCTGTCCTAGCCTCCCAGTGCCTGGCTTAGATGGCACGTCCAGTGTGCCCACTTTGGAGATGCACTCACCTGTGCACTGGCCTCTCCCTGGGGGCCCCAGGAGAACCCAGGCGAGTGTGCACTGGACAGGCAACAGGGAAGCCGGTGGGGTGACCGGATGGCAAAGGGACATCCGTGCTGGCCAATTCAAGGCCAAGCAGCACAACTCCTCTGAGCCCTGCTTTGTGGACCCCTTGGCCACTCCTCCCTTTCCAGCCAACCCTGCAGCTGGCCCAGTCCTGGCTTCCCACCCTTTCCCTCTGGCCCTAGAAACCTCCAGATGCCCTGTGAGCTCTCCTGAGCGGAACCTGACCAGCCCCAGCCCTTCATGAGACTGTGAGGCTTTAAGGACTCAGAGTGAAGGGCTACCCCTGGGAGAGCCGAGGGGTCTGCCTGACTGGCCCTCTCAGCACCTCAGTCATCCAGCCCCTCCCCTCCATCTGAATGGGTCAGTCTCCTGGCAGAGGGCAGCCCAGCCTCCAGGGGGGCAGCAGGAGGGCCAGAAGGCTGGACTTCTCAGAAGCTAATAGAGGTATTTCTCGGGGGGTGGGGGCAGTCTACCTTCCCTGGGCCCCTCTGATGTAGGCCCTAAGAAACTGCTTCTCGGCTGAGAGACCTGGGAGGAGGCCAAGGAACGCGGCGTGCAGACCCCTGGGCACAGCACCCACCGGAATCCATTCTGTGGGCTCCTGGGGTTGACCAGGACGCAGTCCCAGGTGCGGCTGGAGGGGCTGTGGAACAGAATCAGCTGGCCGTCCTCACAGACGCGGCTGCCTGCGCTGTACTCCGCCAGGGGCACCTCCTTCACCCGGAACGGGTTCGAGAACAGATTGGTGACGCTACTGAGGGTGTGGACCAGTCGGCCGAAGAACTGCATCCTCCCTGGGGCAGGTGGGGAGGCCCTGCTGCCTGGAAGAAAATGGGGTCTTGGGTCAGCTGGGCCCGGTCTCCCATGCCCCCCTCACCCTGGGCAGCGGGACTCTGCGCAGGAAGAGAAGAGAGAGAGACGACACTGAGTGGGGACAAGGAGGTCTGAGTGGACATTCCTGAACTGCCATGCTGCCAACGCGGCCCCGTAACTGTCCTGCTCCCCGAGGAGACTCTGGGCAGCAAAGAGCCCTGGTGGTATCGTGACTAAGTGCCCGGCTGTGAAGGGAAAGCCTGCTGGTTCGAACCCACCCAGTCAGTCAATCGCAAAAGGAGAGAGAAGGTCCTGGTGGCCAGCTCCGTGGAGGATCCCAGCCTGTGGACAGCGCTGTGGCACTGCCTCAAACTGAGGACAGGATGTTCCGCACGAGCCGGCGGGACCTCTGCTGGGTTCAGGAGCCATAGCACGAATGGACACAGGCTGGGAGCCCTCCCACACAGCCGGGACCCCTGTGGAAATCACTAGGGAATAGACATTCCACATGACCCGGCAGTAGCAATGCTGGATGTAGGCCCTCAAGAAGTAAGAGCCACAGCACAGAGACGTGGCACTGTTCCCGAGGACACGAGGCTGGGGACAGCCCAATGGCCATCGGTGGAAGGATGGAGACAGAACCTCGGGGGCACGCACACAAGGGAGCCTGTGCCTTGCGGAAAGACGACGGCGATGAAACCACGAAGCACCTCATGACGTGGACGGAGCTGGCGCCCGTGATGCTGAGTGAAGTCGGCCAATCAGAAAAGGGCAGATAGTGCACGAGACACCACACGAGAGAGAACCAAGACAGAGATGCCACAGGGAACAGACTGGAGGCCAGCAACGGTGGTGGAGGTGGGGGTAGGGGTGGGGAGCCAGGACTAGAGAGCTAACAGGTGTTGATCTGGGTGAAAAGGCGGGAGGGAGGCCCACGAGAGGGAGGAGGGCTGGGGAGAGACACTGGAGGTGGGGAGGAACTGATGAGTCGTTTGGGATGGATGAATGCAGAATCGGGAGTCTGAAATGTCAAAGCCCCACCTCCACCATCTCATTCATAATTTTAAAACTAAAAGAGATTATACTGTCTACGGAACCAACCCTAGGGGGGGAGGGCGTTTGTCTAGTTTATCACATGGGTCACTATGAGAATTGACAGCACTCCACCACCACCAGGATTGATGATATCACACACACACACACACACACACACAACCACTGAGTCGATTCCACTCAGAGTGATACTGCAGGAGGACAGGGTAGAACTGTCCCTGGGGGGTTTCCAAGCCTGCAACTCTGCAGGAGTAGAAAGGCCCATCTTTCTCCCTCGCTCATGACAGCAGGAGGCTGTAACTGATCACTTACTATCAGAAGGCCCTGGGCTAAGCACGCTGCGTGGATTCTCATTGAAGGCCTCACATCTGACAGGCTCCGGAGCCACGCTGACCCGCTGCATGGCCTTGAGCAAGTGACTTAATGTCCTGTGTCTCGGTCTGGCCTGTAAGTTGGGACGCCTGACAATAGTACCCGTTCAAGGAAGGCTGGCTCACTTGGCTGTGACCCCGTCTCCCTCCTACAGAGGAGGAGCCAGGCAGACGACTGAGGCATGTGGAAGCCTTGGAGGCTGGTGACGGGAAGTCAGCTGGGCTGCGGGAGGCTGGGAGCCCCCATTTCCCCTATCATAACGAGAACGTTTGCGGGGATGCTTGTTCCTGGGTCCAGGGTCCCACTTCCTTCTGCACCCGGGGACTGTAAGGACAGAGAAGTGGGGTGGAGAGATCTGACCCTTTAGGCACTGGGTTTATGGGCAACATTTTTTTCTTTTCCCCATTTCCCAAACAGCAGGTACAATGATCACAGTGGGGAAGGGGTGGTCCTTCAAAAAGTTGATGGAAGAATTCAACTACCTTGTCATTCTATTGTTCCAAAGTTTGTGAAGCCCTCTGGTATTAATTTTTCCTTTTTAAAGAAAAAAGCGGTAGAAGTTGGACCCCTAGGCTGGCTGCCAGGAAGGTGGGGGGCTCGTAGGGTCAGACCTGTGCGTGGGGGCCTGCCCACGGTGCCTGGAACGCACCACCTCACAGAGGCGGGAAGCGGGGCACCGTCCACCCAGGTCCTGGGACTTGGACAAAGAGCTTGAATGTCACCATCTGGCAGACTTCACTCCAGCCCCACCCCCAGCGGAGAGCCCCCTGTCTCAGAGTCCCCGTCCTCCTCCTTGATGGGCGAGCGGCATTCGCAACCATATGGCCACACACACAGAACAAGGACTTTGGTGCCGGACAGCCCTGGCTGTCCTCCAGCCCTCAGGTTGCCGGGAGGACGAGATGACGTCATGTGGGGAAAGTGTCTGGATGTAGCTGACTGTGGGCACGCAAACAGTGACCTTTGTTACCGCAGCCGGGAGGGAGGGAGGGGAGGAAGTGAGAACCCCCACCCGTGTCCTGCACCAGTCTCCCGCCGCCAGCCAGGAAGGCAGCAAGTACAGAGCAGAGCACTGAGTGTCCTTCTGGAACCTTCTTCCTGCCCCCAGCAAGGGCCCTTGCCTCCCTCGCCCCTAACACCAGAGGCCAGGGGCTCTCTGGAAGGGCACCCAGGACCTCTGCAGCCCCTCCCAAGGGGACTCCTGGCAGTCCCCAGCCCACCCCCACCCTTGACCTTCCCCTGCTGACAGCTGCTCCTACTCTGCACTGGCTCCAGCATGAGAGGCACGGGTGGGCGTCCCTCCCGGGCAACGAGGCCAAGGGCCGGGCAGGGCACTAAGGCCAATCTCGCAACTCTGACCCAGGAGCTTCTGAGGCCGACTTGAGGGGGGCCATCCTGCCTCTTCTCTCTTCCGTGAAATTCCCAGGAGCCAGTGGGGTCTGTTCCCCCTTCCTGCTCCCTCCACTGGAGAGCCTGCTGGGGCAATTCTGGTTCATAGGCCCGAAGGGAGCTCTGGTGGTATAGTGGCTAGGCGTCGGGCTGCTAACTGCAAAGTCAGCAGTTCGAAACCACCAGCTACTTGGTGGGAGAGAGACGGGGCTTTCTACTCCCGTGAAGAGTGACAGTCTCAGAAACTCACAGGGGGACCTCGTTCCTGGCCTATCGGCGGGCAGTGAGTCTGGTTTGGTTTGGAGGGGCCTGAGAGGGCAGCACAGAACAGCTCTCTGGTGGTTCCGGAGCAGTGAACCACAACTGTCTCTTGTCTCCCGAGAAGCAGCTGACGGGTTTGAACCACCAACCTTTCTGGTGAGCCGCCCAGTGCTCATCCCTTGAGCCACCAGGAAGGGCCCATCTCATTGGCCCCATTTTAAAAACGAGGAAATCAAGAAGCAGAGAGGCCTCAAACTGGGGCAAAATGAAGTGGGGCAAGCTGGTGCCCACCAAGAGAGAGATGGAAACCCAGCCCCCTCTTGGGGGACCCCCTCTTGGGGGACCAGAGGAGGCGGGGGAAGGCCAACAGGGACAGGGGCTAGGGAGGCCCGAGAAGTGGTTATCTGGTTTCCTGAGACACGGGGGTTCAGCCTGTCAGGGCTCACAAATATTGGGGTGGGAGGGCACCATGAAACAGTCAAAGCCCCCCCTCAAAGGCCAGGAGGGAGTGGCTGGTGGTGTCTCCCCGGCATTTCCGTTGCACGGGCAGTACATGTAAACGGAGGTGATTTATAGCACACGGGAGGAAGAGCGCAGGTCGTGTGCCAACGCTGGCTGATGTCAGGGACCGGAGCGTCCTTGGAGGTTGGCATGTACGTGGATCCTGAAATCACACACACACACACACACCCCACCCCCAGGTCCTAAGGGACAGCAGAAGTGTGGGGACGGGGATGTCTCAAGGTCAGTGCATCTCAAAGAGCTCCTTGTACCCCGAGGGGAAGGGCTGCTGGTGGAGGTGACTTGGTTGGTTGTGAAGGCAGCCAGGGGAGCAGGGTTGGGAGAGGGTGGGGGAAGGGGGTCCCAGCAGGCAGTGGAGCAAATGTGGGCAGAGCCTGCAGCACTTCGAGCAGGGGGTGTTTACACTAGGTGACTGCCGGGCTGAGTGGAGCTGCCCCTGCCCCTGCTCTTTCTCCTGGTTTACAGTGGAGGAGGGGAGGCATTACGGGAGACCACCGAGACCATTCCACAAAGGATGCGAGAGGAACAGCCGGCCCTCTGCCAGAGTTCTCTGTGGAAAACTGCTCCCCTGAAGGCGGTGGGGGGCCCGGCTGTGTCCTCTGGCCTGTTGTCTGCCACCTCCCCGGGCCCAGCCGGCCCTCTGAGCCCCAGGTGTAGTGGCCACCCCTCCCAACACCATCCTTGTCCTCTCCCTGTTGTCCCACCCTTACCCCTCCCGGTCTCCGGATGCAGTGGTCGAGGGGGCTCCCTGACACCCACCGCCTAGGGCTGTGATGCCAGCGCCCATGAGGGTTGCCCCAGTCCCTCCCGGCTCAGCCCTGCTGGCCCACGACCCTCGAACCTCGGTGTACCCACGGGAGCCCTTTCCCTCTGCCCACCATGGCCTTCTGCTCCTCCAGCCTCAGGCAAACGAATGAACCCCTTCTCGGCCTCCAAGAGCCATAACCCTGCACCAGCCCCTCCATTCAGCCCCGCGTGTGCCCCCAAAGCAGCCGACACAGGCCCCCACTGGGTGCTCACCCATGAAAGCCACAGCACGTGTGCCGCCGGTTGTGGCTGCCCGCACCCCCATTTGGTCACCTGCAGCACCGTGGGTGTTGGACCAGGTCTGGGGAGAGAAGGAGTGGAGACAGATAAGTGCCCCTCTCTCCAAGGCTGGCGACCCGGTGGCACAGACAGAGCCCCTCTCCCTGTGGGTCGGAGCCAGGGGCACACGCCCTCTTTATCCGAGGACAGAGCGCTTAAAGCCAGGCTCTGCTATTCCCAACACGGAAGACTTTTCACCCTGCCTGCTTCCTTCTGGAAGGAGCCCGCTGAGAGATGCCCAATGCATGACCAGAGCCCGAGGTATGGGGGATTCTGGAAACATGAAACCAGGCCTCGGGAGCTCTGGCTGCTGCTTATGACAGGATGTCCCATGACTGGAACTGCTGGCCAGTCCTGGCAGCAGGACAGCAACACCTCCTTTGTGGCGAGCAGTCCCCCGCATCCCCTGGGCTAGAGCTCAAAGATGTACAGGGTCTGCCTGGGTGACAGTGGCCTTTGGTGGCTCTGCTTCCTTCCTGCAGCAATTAGCGCCTGCTCCCCACAGCACAAGAATGCCTCCTCCCCCGAGACCACTGTGCTGTCACAGTGCGCGCTGCTCGGAGTTCAGAGGTGCAAAATTGGGGCCCCAACCCACCAACCAACAACTCACTGCCTTCGCGTGGACGCTGATCTCCAGGACAGGGTGGAACTGCCCACGAGTCTCTAAGACAGTCACTCTTTTGGGGGCAGACAGTAACTCTTCACAGGAGTAGAAAGCTCCATCTTTCTCCTGTAGAGCAGCTGGGGGTTTCAAACTGCTGACCTTGCAGATCGCAGCCCCACAGCTGTTCTCCTTGTTTGGCCTTTGGGGAAACTGAGGGCTGGATAATGGACATGGGAAGCCTTGCCTGGCGGTTCACTTCATGCCTCTTTCTCTGACTCTCAAACAGGAGGCAGAGAGCACACCACAGAGCCCCCAGAGAAGCCCAATAAGATAGTCAGGAGAGTCCAAGTGCCAGCAGGGGTCAAGTCCAAGGCCACAGCTACCACCCCTCTGAGCCTCACAACTACCTAGGCTGCTTTCTAAAAAAATGTCCCTCCCAGTGTCCCCTCTGTCCTTGGCTCCTCCTGGATGGCCCCACAGCCCCAAAGCAGAGCTCCATTGACCCAACACCCATGGAGCACCAACTCTGCAGCCCACTCTCACCCAGCATGCATCACCACAGGGCCGCCCCCTCAAACATCGGGAACGGCAGTAGAGGCCTCAGCTCCACATTACACCTAGGACTCCAGGACACCGGGGGCGGGGTGGGGGGATGGGGGCTGGGGGGTGGGGGGGTGGCTAAGAGCACCAGCCCTTACTGCCCAGACTGCCTTCAAGAGACGCCTCCGTGACGAGTGGCCGAGGGAGCGTGAAGCGCAGCCTCAAGGGCATTGCAAAGCCAAGGTCCTCTTTCCAGACGCACTGTGACTCACACACATCAGAGTAAGACGCTCTCCAAACAAGGGGAAAAGCGCGCCTCTAGACTCTTAAATGACCTGTGGATGGAAGTAACTTCCTGGAGCAGCTGCAATGATGAGAGACGGAGACAACGTTAAGAGAACTTTGGGTAGGTGGCAGGGGACGCGGTCGTCACCCCATCAATATTGATGGGGATACTATGGACTGCCGGAAGGACGGACAACCAGTCTACTCCTTAGAAGCGAAGCTGGCCAGACTGTCTCACGTGCTTTGGGCTTGTTGTCAGGAGAGCCGGGTCCCTGAAAAAGGGCATCTCTCGTGGTAAGGTAGCGGGTCAACAGAAAAGAGGAAGGCCCTCGGCGCGATGGACTGATGGACTGACACCGTGGCTACGACTCTGGGCCCACGCAAGACAGCAACGGTGAGCATGGCCCAGGACCGGTCAGTGTCTGGGTGTGTTGTACACAGGGTCGCCATGAGTCGGACTGCCTGGACCGCCTCTGGTGACAACAGTCCCTGGCAGGCAGTGTTCTAACAGGTGGGGTGAGAACAGTGAGCCAAAGTAACACAAGCACCTTCCTTCCCTCCTGTGACTCCGGTTTTAGAGAGGGCTACAAATCACTCAGAAGGTAAATAGCAGAGAGAAGTAAGTTTTAGATACGGAGCAAGTGAAGGTGAAAATCATCGGAATGTCTTGGTGAAACGCTTTCTGGGCAAAGGGAAAATCCCCCCTCCCCCCAAATAAAACAAAACAAACTCACTGCCATCAAGTAAATGCTCAGAGAGACCCCATAGGAGAAGCTCGAATTGCCCCCGTGGGTTTCTGAGACTAGAACTGTTTACGGGAGTAGAAAGCCTCATCTTTCCCCGGAGAAGTGGCTGGTGATTTCAAACTGCTAACCGCATGGTTACTAGCTCAGGGAGTCACCACTATGCCACTGGGGCTCCTAGGCCAAGGGAAGGGCATGGACAAAGGCCCATGAGTGAGCCTGGTACGTTCCAGGGGCAGTCAGGAGGCCAGTGAGGTCAGAAGTCATGTACACTGAAAGCCAAAGCCACACTAGGGCTTGGAGCTGATGTGCAACTCTTGCAAGGGGATCACAGGGACAGTTTTGTTGAGAAGAGGCTGATGGGGGCAAGGACTGAAGCAGAAGCCAGGACAGATTGGTACATGCGTCCCGGCAGGGGGCGATGCCTGGGTGAGAGTTGGGGGACCGGAGGGGCTGATTTTGAAAGGAGAGTCCATGGGATTCAGTGGCAAAGTAAACGGGTGAGAAAGGGGCAACAGGGATCCCCTCTGAGCTTTGACCCGAGCAACCTTAAAACAAACACTGCCAGCTCCTCAGATGGGGAAGAGGGTGGAAGGGGCCAGCTGGAGCAGGGTGGTGGAGGGGTGAGGGCTACCAGATGCTCAATTCTTAAATACTCTTAAAGTTCGAAATGCCTTAGAGCAGCGGTTCTCAACCTGTGGATCGCGACCCCTTTGGGGGTCGAACAACACTTTCACAGGGGTTACCCGATTCATCAGTCGCAAAATGACAGTGATGAAGTAGCAACGAAAAGAATGTTATGGTTGGGGGGTCACCACCACATGAGGAGCTGTATGAAAGGGTCGCGGCGTGAGGGAGGTGGAGAACCGCTGCCTTAGAGTAAGGTGCTGGAGGAGTGACGGATGAGGGTGTCTATCAGGTGGGGAAGAGATACGGAGTGGTCAGGAGACATACATCTGTCCTTGTGGAGACAGTAGTTAATGCTCTGAGACTGGGTGAGATCATCAAGTGAAGGAAGGAGCGGGGACAGAAGAGGCATTGAAGACATGACCTATTAAAATCCACTCCAGAAGATGCAGATATTTTCTCCCAGGGAGCCACCCTCTACGGAGTGATCTGGTTACCGCAGCCTTCATGAGAACCCCTTAGCATCTCCTGCCCCACCCCACACACAAACTAGCACCACACACACACACACACACACAGGATTTAAACTCCTCCTCCTATATCTGGGAGAATAAGGCTGTCTACACCCATAAAGAGTTACAGTCTAGGAAACCCACCGAGGCAGTTCTACCCTGTCCTAGTGGGTCGCTCTGGGTCAGAATCAACTCGATGGCAGTGAGTTTGGTTTTTCGGTTGTTGTTTTTGGTCCTGTATCTCTTGGTGATGTCTCATTCTGCCAAGCGAGGGGCAAAATCCTTTTCGAACATACCATCCTTTAACAAGAAAGCCATGGAAGGGAGGAACGAGTGCCCTGTCCACTGACACAATACTAGTGACCCTGCCATGGGTGGTCCAGCACTGTCCACAGGTGAAAGCTCCCAGCTCTGACCTCAATATCGGTGTGACCTCAGGCAGATAACACTATGTCATGGGTCACCCGGAACCTAACAGGCAGGCAGTAACCACTTGATGACTACCTAATGAAGGGATCCAGGTGAAGGATGGTGTTGTTGCAATTCAGGCTCCAGCAAAGAACCAGACCAAGCTGCCTTAGAACGGTTATGTGTGAGCCTGTCGCCGCAGCCATGCCCTCAGTCTAGCTCGGTGAGGGTCTTCCTCTTGTTCAACGGCCTTCTACTTTACCAAGCACGTTGTCATTTTCCAGGGACCATTCGTCCCTACTGGTAACACAGTAAGGATAGCATACATCAAAAAGCCTGATGTTAGGGTGGAAAGGGGGGCACTGATTACAGGGATCTACATATAAACTCTTCCCTGGGGGACAGACAACTGAAACGTGGAAGAAGGGAGACATTGGACAGTGTAAGATATGACAAAATAATAATCTATAAATCACCAAGGGTTCAAGAGGGAGGGGAAGCGGGTAGGGAGGGGGGGAAATGAGGAGTTGGTGCCAGGGGCTTACGTGGAGAGCAAATGTTTTGAGAATGAGGGCAACGAATGTACAAATGTGCTTTACACAATTGCTGTATGTATGGATTGCGATGAGTTGTATGAGCCCCCAATAAAATGATTTTTTTAAAAAGCCTGATGTCCAGGAGTGACCAATAAACACGTACCAAATGATAAATAAGTGAAAGACAATTACCACCTGCTCTTCTTTCTCCCCTCTCTTTTGTAAAACTGTTCACTTCCCCTTCCTTTTTTCCCTAACTCCTGCCCAAACCACGTGGCTGCACAGGGTCACACAGATTACAAAGCTTTGTACATTTCCTCTCTCAAATTTGGAACCTCAAGGCAGCCTGAGAGGGAAGCAAATACAGATGAAGAAACTGAGATGGGCACACACACACACACACACACACACACACACACACACAAATACCTCCAAACTCTGGGAATATTTTAAAACCGGGGCAATAACAAAACAAGCATTCAACTCAAGGGTGGAGCCCCAGTGTTGCCAAGCCAAACCTGCCTAACATCCTGTTGAGCGGGTAAGAGGGCAGGTGAGAGGGAAAGATCCAGAAGCTCAGGGCAGGGAAGCTACTTGTTTGGGGTCATGTGAGTAGCCTATAAAAAATCTGGGCACAGATCCATGAGCCTTTATCCCACACCCACAGGCCTGTCCCTCCCAGTCACGTGTCACCAAGGTCACACAATCCCTGGGACCAGCTCCCAGGTCATCTGCAGGGGCGGGAGGTGGATGCAGGAATAGGAGGTTGTGCTGGGACCCTAGATTGTGGAGAAGGTGGCAGCCTGGTGGGCAGCAGGCTACATTTGAAATACGGGGATGCCCGCGACAGAAGTGGGGAGTTAGAAATGGGGACCAGCAAAGAAAAACCTAGAGGTAGGAATGGAGGAATGCAGAAGGGAGCGGAGCCCTTGAGAGTCCAATGGGAATACAGAGGTGGGAGGGCGGAGAGTACTTTGAAGGGGACGGTAAGGAAAGTGGGGGCCGAGGTGGAGGCAGGAATCAGGAAGGGCTGACTCAGGAAGCGAGGGATACTAATGGAGGGGCGCCGGGGTTCCTGAGGAGGGGCTCAGGTCGAGGCTGGGGCACACAGTCCAAGGCGAAACGAAAGAGGTCCCAGGATGGGAGTTGGGGATCAAAGAGAGGACGCTGAGGGGACTGAGGGGGATCAAGAATCACGCCGGAGTCCATGGAAGGCATGCCTCCACATCGGGGAGACGGAGACGGCCCCAATGAGGGGCTCGGCGGAGACGACAGGGTCTAGGCCGCGCGTGAGGTTTGGGAAAGGGCCCTAAACCATGGCTCGCCTGCGCCGTCACTCACCTCGACTTACTCAGCACCTTCTACTTCCGCAAATAAAAGCGCCCGGGGCCACGTGACCAGTCGGCCACAAGCCCGCTTTCCGCCAATCGCTGAAGCCCGTCGTCCGTACCGCCGCTCTGGCTCCGCCCCCCAGCGCCGCGAGCGCCCAGCCGGCGACCGGGGTGGGCGGGGCTCCACGGCGCTTGTAACTGCCCAATGGACGGGCTCCCGTTGCCGGGGGAGGACGGGCTTCCGGCTGCAGCCAATGGACGGCGGCGGGGCGGAGCGGCCGACTGGGCGGGGCGGGGCGGAACGTCACGTGACGGCTCGTTGGTCGCCATGCTGAGGAGGGTTGGGTTTTCCTCATAAAATAGAGGCCTGAAGCCTGTGGAAGACAAAAAGATGAGGAGAAAGCTGCTTTGCTTTTGCCGAACATCTCCAAACCTAGAGTTGGCCAGATTTATTAAATTAAAACTCCCCAATAATTCTTACAGTCCAGTTAAAAAAATACGGAACAGGACTGCCCTGAAAAACTGTGTGCTATTTATCTGAGTCATATTTAACTGGGAGGGCTGTATTTTTTCAGGCAGCCGTGTGGCAAACCCACGTCAGGAGGTATCTTCGCATTTTTATTAAAAATGGGCAAAAAATAAAAAGAAACAGAAATGGGCAAATGCAATCTGGGGGCCTCAGATGCCTCATTTGATAAGCAAGCAACAGGAACACCTCACGAGCTTGTTCTGACAACTAAAGAGAAATGATCCCTGTGTCTGCACGTGGTGGGATCTCAGTAAACGGCAGTTGTTCGTGATTAATCATGTGGCTAATGAGGTGCCCAGAAAAGAAGGCAGGAGACTGGGTTTTAGTCACACATCTACCTCTTTGCTGCACCAGTGAGCTTGGGTACACAACCTTTCTTTCCTTAATGATTCCACACCGTGGGAAGCTGAATTCCCCAGAATGCTCACTGTGCACACTAACAGTACTTGCTGTTTGTGTTCCTGTGCCGATGTGAAGAGAAGTGTTTCCTCCTCAGTAACTCCAGATATTAGCGCTCAGATTGGGGATGGGCGGGAGCGTGGGGAAGGGAAGAGCCAAAGCTACTCCAGCGGGGGTCTACTTAAGAATCTAGATGGGTTAATAAAAGTAAACATAGTTACTACTCTTTTTTTTAAATGGCATTTTTAATGAAGTCATTGGTCTTACACAATTGTATCACTTGAACTCTAGCTTCATTTCCATCATCAAGTTCATATTTTCTTTTTTTTTAAATTATTTTATTGGGGGCTCGTACAATTCTCATCACAATCCATACATGCATCCATTGTGTCAAGCACATATGTACATTCGCTGCCCTCATCACTCTCAAAACATTTGCCCTCCACCTCAGCCCTTAATATCAGTTGCTCATTTTCCCCCTCCCTCCCCACAGCCCCTCCCTTATGAACCCTCCATAATTCACAACTTAATACAGTTTTGTCATGTTACACTGTCCAACGTCTCCCCCCACCCTCTTCTCTGCTGTCCCTCCTAGATTCTTGTAAGTGGTTCCCCCTTTCCACCCCACATTACCTTCACCCTCCAGGCCTCACCCCTTTCACCACTGGTCCTGAAGGAGTCATCTGTCCTGGATTCCCTGTTTCCAGTTGCTATCTGTAGTAATGTACATCCTCTGGTCTAGCCAGATTTGTAAGGTAGAATTGGGATCATGATAGTGGGGGGAGGAAGCATTTAAGAACTAGAGGAAAGTTTTATGTTCCTCGTTGCTACCCTGCACCCTGATTGGCTCATCTCCTCCCCTCAACCCTTCAGCAAGGGGGTGTCCAGTTGCCTACCGATGGGCTTTGAGTTTCCACTCTGCACTCACCCACCTTTACAATGATATTTTTTGTTCTTTGATGCTTGATAACCTGATCCCTTCGACAGCCCGTGGTCACGCATGCTGTTATGCTTCTTCCATGTGGGCTTTGTTGCTTCTGAGCTAGTTGGCCGCTTTTTTATCTTCAAGCCTTTAAGACCCCAGATGCTATATCTTTTGATAGCCGGCACCATCAGCTTTCTTCACCACCTGTGCTTATGCACACGTTTGTCTTCAATGATCGTATCAGGAAGGGGGGCACCCACTGATCTGATTTTTAGTTCTTTAATGTCTGATAACTAGTCCCTTCTGCACCCTGTGGTCAGACAGGCTGGTGTGCTACTTCCATGTGGGCTTTGATGCTTTTGAGTTAAATGGCCGCTTGTTTATCTTCAAGCCTTTAAGACCCCAGACGTTATATCTTTTGGTAGCCGGGCACCATCAGCTTTCTTCACCACATTTGCTTATGCACACGCTTGTATTCAGTGATTGTTTCAGTAAAGCGGGCAACCACTGATATGATTTTCAGTTCTTTGATGTCTGATAACTAATCCGTTCTACACCTCATGGCCAGACAGGCTGGTGTGCTTCTTCCATGTGGGCTTTGATGCTTCTCAGCTAGATGGCCGCTGGTTTGTCTTCAAGCCTTTAAGACCCCAGACGTTATATCTTTTGGTAGCCGGGCACCATCAGCTTTCTTCACCACCTCTGCTCATGTTCACATTTTTCTTCAGCAATCGGGTCGGGAAGGTGTGCATCCTGGCACAGTTACTACTCTTTGTAGAGAGCTTTCCCAATGAGGTTCCCTGGTGGTGTCGTGGCTAGGTGTTGGGCTGTGGTTAGTAGTTCGAAACCACCAGCAGCCTGAGGGAGGAAGGCTGAGCTTTCTATTCCCGAAAATAGTGAGTCTCAGAAACCGTCAGAGGGTCACTATGAGTCAGCATGGACCCAAGAGTTTTCCCAGTTAGAAAGTGATTTCATCCATTCTCCCAGGACAGTTCAGCTTGTCTTCATTTTCTAGGTGAGAAAACTATTCTCTAAGGGTGGAAATTTGACCCAGGGTTTCAGCTTGTGGTTGAGCGAAAACATTGAACATGGAGAGTTCTCAGGAAGAGAGCTTGCCCAACACACCCCACATCTGTGAAGTTAGGGCAATGGTTATCAGGGAACTTGTAAGAGGCCGGGCATTCCACCCCCACTGAGCAATCTGATCTGAGAAAGCCAGTAGGTCCAACAGGATCCATCTCATTCTTCAGCAAAGCAGGCACCCTTGTGTTTAAGGTGGGCAACTTGGGCAGCCTAGACAGGCAGCCAAGCTGAACTGCAGAAAGGGCTGAAGGCAGATGGATCAAACACTCAACGTTGCGCAAAACAAAGTCATAAACGAGGATCTCCCGGGCTGATGAGGATGAGTGCCCCTCCCCTAGGCATTTCTGGTGGAAGCTTTTGAATGAGTGGAAAAAGCAAGAGAGGAAGTGAGGTGGTTATTGGGTAGCATTGAAAGAAAGAGTAAAGGGAGGGGGGCAGTAAGCACAAGGAGGACACTGTGTGGGCTGTCTGCTGTGTTGCACGCTAGGGACATGTTCAAGCTGGCCGTTGACGTCAGAGAGCTTGTCTTGAGGGGCTGTGTGGCTGTGTTAGGCCCTGCAGCTACACACATGACATCGTCCTCAGAGAGCTCCTGGGGCTAGTCTCCCTCAAGGAAAGACCCAAGTGGAGAACAGATGGAGGGTGGGCAGGCTACAGTCCAGTCTACACGATGCGCGGCATTTGAGCTTTGGCAGTCCTGAGGAGGATCGGAGTCATCCCATTTTCTAGATGGCGACACCCAGGGTCTTTGAGGAGAGAGCCGCAGGTCAATGAGAGTCGGCACCAGCATCAGGACTTCCATCTAGTCTTTTCCTTCCGAAAACCAGAGGAGTGCCCACCATGTTCTCCGTGCTGGGAAAACCATGGCAAACAGAACAGACCAAGAACACAACAAAGGCCTGCCCTCGTGTTCATCATCTAGTGGGGCCAGACACCAGAGAGAAGTGACAAAGTAGAGTGCTTTGTGCTGAAGTCTCTGGAGGGTGCCTCACGCTGGCCTCTCCTTTCAGAAGGGTTGACCCTAGTTGAGTCGGGCTTGTGGGTAGGAGTCCCATGGACTCATCCTCCCTTGATTTGTGTGTTTGAACACTTAGAATACAAGAGTTGGAGAAAATAAAGAGAGTGGGATGCTGTTGGTGTGGCTGTTGAGTCCCCGCCTTCCCCAACTTATGGTGTCCCCCTGTGTTGCAGTCTAACTGCCCTATGGAGTTCCCTTGACTGTCCACTTTCTGCATGTAGTTCAGCCAGCTGTGATTTGGTCGAGCTGCTACGTGGGCTCGAAGGGCCAGCCTCCGGGTGAGCAGCGGATGGCAGATGGCTGCACCAACCAGGGCGATGCCATTGTGTGTTGTGTCAATTCCAAGTCAAAGCAACCCAACATGACAGAGCGGAACTGTCCCACAGGGCTTCCCGAGACGTAAGCTTTACAGGAGCTTGTGGCCAGGTCTGGTCTCCTGGGATGCCACCGTGCTGGGTTCAAACCCTCCACCTTCTGGTTAGCATGGCGTACTTCATCCGCTTCTGGTCAGGGCTCCACCCACTCAGGAAAGCTGTTGCTAAACTGGGGAGTGAAAGTAGGGCAGAGAGATAAGGGAAGGTTGTAATTTTCAAGAGGGTGGCCAGGAAAGTCTGCGCCCAAAGAGGGAGGCATTTAAATAAAGACCTGGGGGCGGTGGGGGGACCATGTGGGTGGTCTGAAGAAGAGCATTGCTGGCAGAGGGACAGCAGAAGTGAAGGCGCTGAGATAGGAGCTGCCTAGTCCGTTTCCAGAAAAGCAGCCAAGTGAGCAGGCACGTCATAGGCCACAGGAACAAAGGAAGATTGGGAGGTGGGAATTGTAGGCCATTGTACTAGTTTAAGACCTTCCATCAAGGGGACTGGGGAGCCGTGGGAGAGCTTTGAGCAGAGGAGTGACCTGATCAGACTTGGATTCTTCACCACTTGTGTCTGTTAGCTCTATGAGAACAGACACTTAGGACAAGGCAACGTCAGGAGACCTGCAGAGGACGCCAGTGCAGAAATGCAGGTGACCGAGGCTGGGACAACCATTGTCCCATTTAACCATCCCAACAGAGAACCAGTCCAGTCATGAGGATAGGAGGTGGAAGTCGCTTGGAGAAGGCAGGCATTGATTAGCTGAGC